TTTTAACGTTAAATATGATTTAGTTCTGAAATAATGAAGCACATTGATGAGAGAATCTGGGAAAGAAAAGATAGCTCTTGGAGTCTGTACAGTATACTACTCTTTTTTAAATACTTTGGCAGTGTTTTTGTTTGTATAGTAACGCAGACGATCATGCTGTTGTTGCATGTCTTCATCCTATCCATAACCTTCTAGCTAATCCCAAGTATTGTAATTGTGAAGTCCTGCAGACTGAGGAGTATCATAAAGAAAGGTCAATGCAAAGTTTTCTTAATAGGGAAAACAGCTAGAGATTTAAAACATAACATTTAAAATGTAAGAAAGAAAAGAGGTCAGCTCTATAAAATGTGGCTCATAAAATGTGTTTTAGGTGTAAAAGTCTGGGAAGTTGTCCCAGTGGCCTCGAAGTGCTTTGCAAATGTTAGTTACCTTCTTCATTCTTAGTTCTTCCATCTCTTTTCCCTTTATTTCACTGTGCATAGAGTCTTTGATAATAAATCAGTATGAATTATTCATCATCTGTAATGCAAGGCTGTAATTCAGCCTGCTGACAGCATAATCATGAGATTGAGTCGGAGGGTACAGTATGCATCTGTTATATTGCATGCATTATTCCTCTTAATGTACACTCAGGGATTATCCCAAAGTAAACGTTTGAGTTGGGATACCTCATTCTGCAGAAAGGAAAGATGTTTCACCTCCTCGTCCTTGTAATTGATTCTCTGTCTTTGTCTGAGGTTAAGTAATTCATGACAAGTATTTTTCTGTTTGGATAATCTCAGATTTGTTTAGTAAGGTTTTTCTCCTACAATTTAAAGCCTGCATAACATTATCTTTACTGCTGTATGCTAAAAAAGCAATTTGACTTCTTGCTTGACTTCTGTATTTAGGAGATGCTGCTGAACTTTTTCCGTTTATCATTTCACTAACAGGCAAACAGCAAGATGTCTGCAGCACAGAAGGCTCTGGCCAAAGTTGATAAGAGTGGAATGAAAGCCATTTCTACTTTCTTCAGCTCCAAACCTAAAGCATCAAAATAAAGACTTGTTCTTGAAAGAGTGGTTATTTTTATGTTAAGCTAAAGATGTCTCCTGGGGTTTTTTGTTAGTATAGTATATGCAGGGCATGTCTGCGTACATGGTGGAGTGTGATGAAGAGATCTGTGAGCTAGCGTGGGCCAGAGCTGTTACGCCTCAGTGGGGCAAGGCAGTACCATGCAGATGTTCCAGCCTGGGTCAGGAGGACAGCCTAGCTGCATTAGCATGGTCCTGTGAACTGTGAAGCAAGAGTTTAGCATGGTACTGTACTGTACTGCTGCTTGTTGTAGAGCAAGCTCACTCAAGGCCACCACAGAGTTTTCTCCGTTGCACTCCATTCTGGGCTGGAAACATGCCCTCCTCTGATGAGTTTTTAAAGAGAGTTTTTTTGTTTTTAAGGAGCATTATTTTTTGAGACTTCCTGGAGATTTTTGCCCAGTATAACACCAGAGTAGGATGGCATCGTTAGATTTTTATGTTGACCCCAATCTAAGTGCTGATATAAGCATTGCCATTGGTGACAATTTATCGAGGCAAAGATAGTGTCTCTATTGGGATTTTGGTTGTTTTGAATATGTTAGAAACAAATTGCAATAAATGTCAATGAGCATGTAATGCAATAAAGTGCTTTGTGTAACAAATTTGTGCTTGTTGTATTTGCTGTATGTTTCAAGAGTTAGATTAGGCTTCGGGACATTTCTGAAGGGGTTTTGGTATTTTCCTGTGTATAAATTTTAATCCTTAAAGAATTACAACATTACTTTGGGCTTACATGATAAATCTCTTAACACATAGCAATATAGGGGTATTTTCATGTTCAGTTCCAAGGTCGATAGGTCCTTACAAAAATAATTAGGGTAAGATTAATTTAAAGGCAAAACTGGGGCTTTTAAAGAAGCCTATTTGGAGCTGGATGTGCAATTCAAAAGCTTAAGTATGAGTGTCTTGGGTAAGGTTTAGTTTTATCAAGTTTTGCACAAGGTAGGACTGTTACTTAAAATGCACTGCTCACTCTTGGGTGTGTTCTTTCCTCATTACGGAGTATTCCTATATATTCAGAGGGATAGGTATCTGCTATGTTGCAACTTCCCTGATTCACAGAATTGAAAAAGAGATGGAGTCACTGGGATCATTTGTATAGGTCTGGCCAATTCTGCACGACACTAACTCATAGTTTCATCCACCAGCTGTTGCACTGAGCCATTACTGTGGATCAACTAGAATGTGTATTTTAGAAAGACACTCTTAAAATATATCATTCTTTGCTACTTCAGCTCAGTAGAGAATCTGCCTGTATCCCTTGATAATGGGGAGTTTCAGAGAAACTGGGAGTTTCTTCCTTTTTAGTTACTGCCATTTTTCCACTTCAGACTTGCTGCTGTTTACAACCCACGGGTTACAGTGGTGTCTGTTCGGTTAAAGAGCTCTGTGGCATTCTCTTCCAACTAGAAATGAATGAGAAGCCTTGCTGTGTGTTGTGTGCAGTTTTGCAGTTGTTGTTGGGGTTTGTATCCTTTTCAAACCAGTGGTTTTTTTGGGCATAGTTTGTAAATGGAGAAGTCAGTATGGTTGGAATTCCAGATAGAGGAAAATATTTGGAAATCTGTGGAATTATTATCTCTGATTACAGAGTTTTATTTAACAAATGTGGATGGCCTCCCAATAGCGTACAGTTAGTGTTCCCAGCTCTAAAAATATTTGTCTGACGTGGATTATCTAGAACCAAAATGAAGTTCCTTAGAAAAAAATGCTTTTCAGGCATTCTAAGGAATCACTACTGTAAGTCTTCCTTATCTCCGAAAATTAGCCCGTAGTACTAGTGTGTGAACATGGGTTGAGAAGTGTGTGATTTCGATGCAGAGACTTTATTTGATTTTTCAGTTAGAATCATCCCAAGCCATTTGGTGCTTTAATAAAATTCCAGTCGCGAATGTCAACATTCTGAAACAATATAAGGGGGTGAGGGGCAGTAGGGGACACAAAAAACCCCAGGAATTGCTACGTGGAGCCATAGAGAAATTCCTGTTACACCACACTGCCTTGTTGTTCATCTGTCTTTAGCAGAATTTCACCAGCCCTATCAGTAAAGTTTCCTTTTCTGACATTAACTCTCAGACGAGTTTAAAAATTAATAGTAGGTGTCAATGTATGTGACAATTTCTATGTGCACCACCTTTAGAATTGCCATCTTGCTTTTTTCCTACCTTACTTATCCAGTCTGTAAGTGAAGACCAGCCCTGTAGCAGCACATATTGGTTTATCCAATGGGTCCTTGCTATGACTGGAAAGAACTAGCATTTGGTGAGCCCGGAATGAGCAACTGCAGTCATGAACCGGAAGGGTTAGATTTTGAAAAACATTCGGCCTAGCCCAGCAGTTTATTTGACAGTCAAAGATGCCCCAACTTCATATCAGCAGGAGAAGGGAGGCACCAGGGATGACAACTTTTGAAAACCACCGCTCAAAGTGCAGGATAATGTGAAAAGAAGAAGAAAAAGAACAGGCACATACTGTCGTGTTAATGGAGTAGTTTTGTGCAGTAAGCAACATCTTGGGGAGTATTTTGGTAAATGAGAGGAAAGGAGTTGTGTATCTATTAATGGAAAGCCAGTTCCAAGCACTAGAAGATGTTGAGAAGGCAGACAAGCATGGGATGGACGTTTGAGTAGAAAACCAAGAGCGGGACAGAGTTACATTAGAAACGGGAACTGTGATGAACTATGAGGTAGGACGGATACATGGTAGAAGCTTTTCTTCCAGATATTTAAATCTGCTAGTTTTAGGGGTTTGGTTTTTAATAGTTCAAAAGTTCTGTGAAATAAATTTCGGAAATTTGTCTTTTCGTCAACTGAGCAGTTCAAGAACCTTTCTTCTAAGAAAACATTGCAGTTTCTCTGGTCAGAATGTAGGACAGAAGGAGGAGAATTCTGATAGAGATGGGAGGCCTTTGTGCTGACTTCTGATCTGGGGTACCGATTTTTTTCTTTCTTTCCCTGTACATGACGTTCACATCTGCCCCTGCCCTCAAGGACTAAGTCTAGAGTTCTTCCTCTGTGCATTGATGCGTTGTGCTTTAGTGTGTCACATCTCGACTTCAGCTGTCAGCTATGCCGTAACTTACAACAATAGTAATTTTATTAGTGACTGTGCTTTTGGTTGAGCAGGAATTTGTGCATGACAAAAAAAATAAGCCATTTCCAAAAGCTGTTAGAGCTTTCACGTGAAAACAAAAACTTTTCCCTTTAGGAAAAAATGAAATACATTTAGTAACTTTGAAACTTCCTCAACATGTAGCTGTAAGAAGTTACGAAGAGCATGTGGTGCCAAATACATAAAACAATATTTCCTACCACAACGAGGATTTAAATATAGTTACTACGCCTGGCCAGCAGTAGCAGTAGGTCATTATGAAGTGCTGCTTTGCTATTTCTTCCTTGGTGAGCTTAGTATGAAGCAATATGCCAGCACTGTTATGGAAATGTGGTCTTACTTTATTTCTTTTTGGCATTAACATGCCACCTCTACATGTTCATGTAAATATCTGATGAGTTGTGATGCTTTTATAGTTGTTGTTTTGGGATTAAGCAGCTCTTGCATTTCCACTTTTTTAGACTTCACATTGAAATGGATTGACATCGGTGGGCACGGAAAACTTCATATGGAAATACCAGCACCGACTTAGGGATATGTAAGGGTTGGACTTGCACATCATTTTCAGCCTTAAGTAATAAACTTAGTTCTATTTGTAGAAGTGGCAATTGGTGATTTGAATATTTTCAGTGGAAAAGGCGGCATAGTTGGCAGAATTTGCATTCAGATCTGAAATTTAGAAGAGTTCAGTGATGCTTGTTTTCAGGTGTTCAGTTGCATCTGACTTGATGGTTTTTAGAGGGAAACTAAATGCATGGATGCTTATTTGAATAGATTAATGTTTATGACTGGGGTTTTCTCCTTCCTTTTTAGATGCCTGCGCAAAGACATGCAAAGAAGAAATGAAAGGAGCATAAGGAGACTCGCTAGTATTATTTTAACTTGCCATAATCTCAAAGCAGCTTTTAAAGGCTTTTTTTACGCACTTTCTGAAAATAAATACTTGAAGTTAGACATGCCCTGTTCCAAGAAAAAGCAAATCTCAGCAGATTAACATTGTTAAATATGCGGTGTGTTAAATATACACTGCTTCAAATTTTATAGCTTATACACTATTGGTCTGTCGGGCCCTTCCAGGAAAGCACTTACGAGCATGCCTAATGTTAAGCACATGAGCAGCAATCTTAAAGTCAGCAGCGGTGTTCGTGTGGATAAGTGCTTTGCTGGATCAGCGCCTAAAGTCCTGTTAGGTGCTGAGCATCCTGATCCATATCCAGCAAAGCACTTACGTCCATGCTTATCTTGAAGTGGAAGAGCCAGTCTAACTAACATTTCTGCATTAGTGTTCACCGTAAAATTTCTCTTGGCACAATGACTCACATGCTTAAAGTTAAGCACCTGCCTAAGTATTTTGCAAGGTCAGACCAACAGCATCCTTGACCAAGTCTTAAATAATTACTTGCTTTTGTATGAATTTTCTTTTTTGTACTCGTCATTTTTTAACAGAGTATATGATTTTAGTGGCCATAATTACAAGTTTTAGCAGCTGCGTAGCAAAATATGTCGTATGCAATTTCCTCCTTTCTTTTTCAAAATCTAGCCAAATTCAGCAAGATGGCCTTTTTGGACTAGAAGTCCAATGTTCAGACTTAGAATCATCCAAAATGAAAAAAAAGTTAACTCTCTCTTTTTTAGGACGTTTACATGTTTTGAAATTAGAGTTTGATTTAAATGGTTTTGTCCAGGCCTGACATTTTATCCAGAAGATGTCACCTAGCTCTGGTTGTGCAGACAGTCTGACTCTTGAAGTGCTAAAGCTTGAGGTAGGATGTGTGTTCGGAAGGGCAGATGGAGAAGTTGTATTTTGATTTTACTTCTTTTTTTCTAAGGGACTGAAAGCTTAGAAACATGTATAAAATAACATGTACATTTTGTGTTGAGAACTAAACCAAAACCTATGTAATCCTCCAGGTAAAAAAAAGACCTTTTTTTTTTTTTTTTAATCATGTAAGAGACACTTTCTGTGGCATGAACTTCAACCAAAATGTCAACTTGAGTCTACATAAAACATGCAGAAAATGGATGCTAATGAGATCCTTACGTGATCTGTGTCAGATGCAGTCTGATGTTTTGAACTTAAATACCTGTTTATCAAACTGCCATTAATATCTGACTCTTTGCTACAAAACTTTTAAAAAGTAATAATTGACAGGATTTTGGACGTAATGAATGTGTACTTCTGTAAATATTAACTATGACCCCAGTTCACAGACACCTACAGCAAATGGCCAAAATGTTCCGTAAAGCTTGAATGTATTTGAAGCATTCTGGGTAAGAAGTAAAAAAAAAATTTGCTTCCACTCTGGCAAATTCTGTCTAACTTCAAGTCAAATGAGAGCTCCAGGAAGAGTTTATTAGGACATTGCTGAAAACTCAATTCCAAGGCAAAGAGGCAATAGCTTATTCAACTTTCTTTTCAACTGATTCTGATCAACTCTGTTTCAGAATATGAAAAACCTGAACTATTAACCATTTAGAAATCATGTATGAAAGGAAATGTGATCTGAATGCTTATTTTGGAAATCTGCATTGAATTCTTTTTGTTACTTTTATGCTTGTCTGGTTAAGCAATGTGCACTGTCCCTTTTCAAGGAAAAAATACTTATTTTAACAGTTTTCTAGGTGGTACTGCAAGCATATTATATGGGTCCAAGATGAAATTTCTATTTTCCTAGCTTATATTAAAAAAAATGCTTGATGTTTGAATAAGATTATATATTTCAGGAAAGTGTGGTTCCATTTTTTTGTAAGATTTTATTTTTAATTCATGTACAAGAAAGAAATAAATACCTTTGGAATAATTTGTTGATTATTACTTCAGTAATTTCACAGAAATACAAAGAAAAACGCAGCGCAATCAGGCTACTGATACTGCTAGCCTCCACAAGCTAGTCAGTAATCCTTAGACTGAGTTGAAGGAAATAATGAATCCTGAGATAGATACGAATCTAAAAGTTCATTAAGACAGATTCAGTGAAGCAATTAGGCTAATCCTTGAGGACCTTACTGTACAGATGTTCTAGTGAAAACCCACTTCTGTGTACATATAGGTGTTGGCCTAAGTACTCCGGCCATTTTGATTTTCATGAACGTGGTGGTGAACCTCTGGGCGATGGCAGGACGAGGAGAGTTGGGGTGAAGAGAATGATGTGATATTCATGTCATTTTTTACCTATTTCGTGTTACTCGCCATCACATATGTAGTATATAGGTGCTCCGTCACAGACTTACACAGAACTGATAGACAATTCTTTTCCACGTTTTTTGTAGCAGGCAGTTAATCGAACACAAGGGAAAAGCTGTTCCTCTGGCAAAACATTATACTGGTATCACCACGATGCTGTGCTAAGTGCTGACATGAGGCTTCAAGGCTGTTAGGAGAGTTATTGCCATTTCATTTGTAAAATCCAGAGAACAAGGGGCAATGCAAAGGGCGGTGGGCTTTTTATTTGGCGGTCAAGTTGGTTTATTGATATTAATGAGAACCAAGCAAGAAAAGGAGTAAGATTTGTACCATTTCATAAACCCATCACTCGCCAGCACTTATCAATAGAAACAGAATTACCAGTGCTAAGGACAAAGCACTAAGGCAGCTTCTATTTAAATATGAAACAGCGTTTACACTGCTTAGCTCAATAAAGTCAATTTGCAAAGTAATGCAAAGACTAAAGAAAATGGCACATTGCTTTACGTCTTTAAAGAACTTCCATAGCTCAAGTGTCTAAGCTTAGCTCTCTAGTACCTCTGTGTGCACAACTGTTCACGTCTCTTAGGGTCTGTCACGTTGCAAATTGCCCTAATTTTTCCAAAGCTCCCTTTTAAAATGCGTTTGGTACCCTGAGGTAGTTGCAAAGCAAGCAATGTTATCACAGGTAAAACAATGCCCCAGTGAGGCTCATCGATTTTAAAAAAGGGAAGCTAATAGAAAAGTAAAAAGCTGTGCTTTAAAATCTGGCTTCTAATTCGGGGTTATGTTCATTGTTGGGTTCACCCTTTGTCTTTTCACTCTGAGGGCCTGATTCTTTTTCAAAAGATCTTTTTCAAAAGATGCTAACTTGGTACAGCCCCACCTCCCCTTGACTTCAGGCCAGCCAAGCAAACTGTTTCAGAACAGGCACCCGCATTGCTGAAGACAGCCAAAATCAAAGCTTTCTGCAACCCTACAAATGTGTGAAGCTGGTCCTGGTTGTGAATGGAACCACCAGCCGCTTCCTCTTGAACTCCCTGTGCAGCTGGCATTGCTAGAGGTTCTTCATAAACGGTTCAAACTTGATTTAGTAGGAGTGAAAGTAAAAAAATAGCTGAGATATACTTTCTGATCTTGTAGTCAGTCCTACGTCGGAGAAACTGAGCAGAATGGTTACAGAGGTTGGTAGCTAGGGATAACTGAAGCTTCCTTGAAGGAAGTCATTAGGGAGCCATTCCACCTCATTTTAACCACCTGAAAGTTAGGTCTCTACGCACCTCTACACAGCTTCTCTGTTATTAATGGAGAGCATCCTGAAAAGGTGACTTCTGTGTTCCAGGAAGAATCATCCACTGGAGACGTGGCTTTTCCTCATACACAGTGAGATGAGCCGAGACACTCTGTGTGCCTGCACACAAAATTTGTAGATGGCTGTCTTCAATATAACTGTAGTGCCTTCAAGAATTGGAGGCAGTCCTGTATTTAAGGAATTGAATTTAGCCTCCAGGCTAGACAGGATAGGTCAGGCTCTCAAGATCTCTTTAGCTTTCCAATAAGTATTGTTTCTCTCTCTCTTCTCTCTCCTCATTTTATAGATACATAATAAACTTAATTTTTAACCTGTTCTGTTGGGACGGGAAACCTCCGCTCTCCACCCTACAGATCATATTCTGCAGTGTTGTCATGTTGTTTCCCTTACAGCCCACTAAAACAGTCATTGAAATTTTGTCCTATTACTCCCCCTCCCCCCCCCCCAAATTGTTTGAGAGGGCAAAATTTGTTTGTAATAATTTTGCAGTCCATTCTCTGGTGCCTAAAACATTCCCATCAGCCCACAAGGAAGCACTGAGGAATTGGACTAGACTATCTGCTTTATCTGCAAGCAATGAAGGTAGGTAAGTTGATCTGGGCCTCTCCTCCCCTTTCCAGATGTACTCTTGTGACTGATTTTAAGGAGTTTTAGCCCCTTAATTTCCAGTTATTGTTTCTCAGCTGTTAACTGCCCCCTGCCCCTTTGGCTGTGATGCTGTGACTTATTGTGCAAGGCACATTCAGCCTTTCAGTGTGAATTCAAACAGCAACCAACAGCCAGAGGGTCGTAACTGTTCAAGCTGTTAAGGCTCAACTGAAAGAGTATATCCAAGTGTACTTCAACTCTCTGTCCCTCAGCCTTCAATCTATAAACTGTGAATTATGTCTCCCTACCTCATCACAGTAAGTTGTGACAGTTACTAGCTCACAGGATTACAGTTTAAATAAAAATACATTTAAAACTGAATCCGGTGAACTCAACCTGAACTTCTTTGAATTCCCATATGCCTTGCACAAGCAGGAATACCTCTGGAGACCAGAGCTACACAGAGACACTGATTTGCTCTGATTTCAGGAAAAGCAATGCAAGATTACCACTTGGTTCATAACACCGTGTGAGGCAGACAACCTGCTGCAGAGTAACTGGGCCCTGACCCAGGCTCCCAAATCTTGATGGAGGGAAGTTTTTCTCTAGATCCAGGTCATGAGTTGTTGGTTTAGGCTGGGCTCTGCAGAATAGAAGCTTTGTGGAGGATTTAATGCTGCCATTTGTTCCCACAGACAAAAGCCCTTACAGTTTTTGTGCTGCTTTGGTATGATTTTGCCCTTAGTAAGCACAAATTGTAACTTCTGGCCTTCCTGGAGTCTGGTTATACCATAAGCCTAGCAAAAAAACATCTTCATGGGGTTTTAGCAGGATAATTGCTCCCAGGATAACTTATTGAATGACAGGTTATTTGGGCAACTCGCAAGATCTGTGAAGACAAGGAGAGATTCCCCATGCACACTCCTCCCAGGCAGGACAGGATTTAACCTTTGCAAGTGCTCCACACCCAGCACAGGCATAAGCATGTGCTCTGCTCCAACTCTAAGCAGATGGAGCAGTGACAGAACTAGAGTGAGACTGAAATGAGGAAATAAGTTTGAATGTAGTGGGGAAATCTAGCAGAGATAGAGACATGATCATCCCCCTCTGCTCAGTGCTTGTCAGGATGCACCTGGAGAACTGTGTGCAGTTCTGGTCCCCACAATTCAAGAAAGACATGTACAGACTGGGGAGTGTCCGAAGGAGGGCCACAAAGATGATCAAAGGGCTGGAGAACCTGCCCTATGAGGAAAGACTGAAGAAGTTAAGTCTTTTCTCCCTGGAGAAGGCTCAGTGGGGACCTCATCACAGTGTTCCAGCCTGGTTGAGAGCTTGTGGGATGGGACCAGAAGAGAAGACAGTGAATGTGACATCATGGTGGGAGTGTGTCACAGACCAGGGTGAGGAAGCATATGAAGTCTTTAAACAGTTTGAGGAAGTCTCTGAATCACAGACCCTGGTCTGTCTCACAGGGGACTTTAACCTACCTAACATCTGCTGGAAGGGCAACTTAGCTGGACACAAGCAGTCAAGAAGATTTCTGGATGGTGTCAGAGATAATTCCTTCGCTCAG